ATTAGCATCAACTACTTTTTCATCATTATTAGCTGTAGCTTTTTCATCAGTATTATTATCAGATACTCCATCTTTATACATATTCTCTCCCAATTTCATACTACTAACCATCAAAGCATCTGTTTTTGCTTTAATCTGTTCCACATTACCAGAATCCAACGCTGCTTTCAACTCTGTTATCGTAGTCTCTATTTCTTGTTTTTCACTGGCTGATATTTTACCTTCCTGTTCTTTCAGAGTTTTTTCAGTTGAATAAATTAAACTATCAGCATGATTTCTAGCTTCTATTAATTCACGACGTTTTTTATCCTCTTCAGCATTTTTTTCTGCTTCTTTTTCCATTTGTTCAATTTCTTCCTTACTAAGACCTCCTGAAGCCTGAATAGTCATTTTCTGTTCCTGACCAGTAGATTTATCCTTGGCAGTAACTTTCACTATACCATTAGCATCTATATCAAAAGTTACTTCAATTTGTGGACCTCCTCGACTTGCAGGGGGTATACCATCAAGATTAAATTGACCAAGTAACTTATTATCAGCGGCCATGTCTCTTTCACCTTGAAAAACTCTAATAGTTACAGCATGTTGATTATCCTCAGCTGTAGAGAAAATTTGGCTCTTTTTAGTTGGAATGGTAGTATTACGATCAATCAACCTGGTGAATACTCCTCCAAGAGTTTCAATACCTAAAGATAGAGGAGTAACGTCCAACAACAATATATCAGTTACTTCTTTATTTAACACTCCACCTTGGATAGCAGCTCCTAAGGCAACAACTTCATCTGGATTGACTCCTCTATGTGGTTCACGACCAAAAAACTCTTTCACCCTTTCAATAACTTTTGGCATTCTAGTCATCCCACCAACTAGGACCACTTCCTGAATATCAGAAGCTTTTAACTTAGCATCTTGCAATGCTTTCCTGCACGGTTCTATTGTATCATCAATTAGCGCCGCTACTAAGGATTCTAATTTAGCTCTAGTAAATTTTATGTTTAAATGTTTAGGTCCAGAACTATCAGCAGTAATATAAGGTAAGTTAACATCAGTTTGCGCTACAGTTGATAATTCTTTTTTAGCTTTTTCAGCGGCTTCTTTTAAGCGCTGCAAAGCTAAAGAATCCTTGCGTAAATCGATACCACTTTCTTTTTTAAATTCATCAATCAAGTAATCTAGAACTCTCGAATCAAAATCTTCTCCTCCTAGGAACGTATTACCATTGGTAGATTTGACCTCAAATACCCCATTACCAATCTCTAAAATTGATATGTCAAATGTACCTCCACCTAAATCATATACAGCTATTATTTTACTTTCAGCTTTATCAAAACCATATGCTAATGCAGCAGCTGTTGGTTCATTGATAATTCTTAATACTTCTAAACCGGCAATTTTTCCAGCGTCCTTAGTTGCTTGACGTTGAGCATCATTAAAATAAGCTGGTACAGTAATAACTGCTTGAGTTACCTTTTCTCCAAGATAGTTTTCAGCGGTTTCTTTCATCTT